TATTAGAGAAAAGAAGGTGGGGGGAGGAGGGGGGCTAAACGGTGAGACGGGAAGGACTGGGGAGAGAGACGGAGGGGAACGGGACCCCGATAAAGTAAGAAGGGGGCAATGAGTGCAACCTGGGCGACAAACAGCACCCACGAGGCCTATCCAGTCGCGTCAAGGCCCCACCAGCATAGACCGACTCTCTCTCTCTCTCTCTCTCTCTCTCTCTCTCTCTCTCTCTCTCTCGTCGCGTCAAGGCCCAACCAGCATAGACCGACTCTCTCTCTCTCTCTCTCACTCTCTCTCTCTCTCTCACACACACACACACACACACACACACACGCACACACACGCACACACGCACGCACACACACGAAGGGAGGGTCTCTCTTGCACACTCATTCTCAGGTACAAAGACAGTACGCACTTTTCGCGCCGAGGCTTTTCAAGCAATTTCGGTGCCTGCAAAATCGTTATGAGACGAAGAAAAAGAGATAGGGACCCACGCCGTGCTCCTGTCCTCTCCTCTCCTCTCCTCTCTCTCCTCTCCTCTCTCTCCTCTCCTCACCTCTCTCTTATCTGTTCACGTGACTTCCACTGCTCTTCTACAGCGGCAGCATGCAAACCTAACCACGCTTTCGCATTTTCCCACACGCTCTTCCTCGTTCGTTCGCGCTCCACTTAACTGTATTTTTTTTTTTGACATCCTGAAAAAAAACTTTCTCATCGTTTTCGAAATTTCTGTTCGTCGAAATTTCTGTTTGTAGATTACACGCTTGCAGGAGATGGATGGTAAGAAGCATATTTCCAGTAAGAAGCGTGCAAAGAGCATTTTTTTTTGCTATAAGTATTTTCAATCAAATTGCGTGTTAAGAGCAATTTGGCCGTTGCTTACATTCTTCTTCTTCTTCTTCTTCTTCTTTTTCTTCTTCTTCTTCGTCGTCGTCGTCTTTTTGTCTTCTTCTTGACGCCCGTTGAGGGACCGACACGTAACGGATTTTATTGAGTCCGACACAACGTCTATGCGGCAGACCAGTCTTAGCTGTAGTAGCCCGTGGAAGTGCCGTTGCGGCAGAGAGTACCGTGCTGGCTAGACTTACACTCGGTGTACAGTATAAAGGAGGGCAAGCCCGTATCGGCCCTCTATACTCAGAAGGATGGGAGGTTCGACGGTGGGCCGCAAGGCAGGGTTACGTGGAAAGCCCCCTGAGGATGATCGGAGCGCAACCGATCCAAACGCCTCGGGGAGTGTGCGCGTGAGCTGAGATGTGTACACGCGGCTATGTTTTGAAGAGTTTTCGAAGCGTGTACGGAAGGCAGTTGGCCACTGTTTTCACTACTCTTCTTCTTCTTCTTCTTCTTCTTCTTTGCCATCTGGTGGTCACATAGCGCTCATTAGAGATTGTCACGTGGGACCGACTTGACATAGATCGAGATGACACGTGGCACCGGCTTGACATAGATCGAGATTGACACGTGGCACTGACCTGACATACAGAAAGAGATTGACACGTGGCACTGACCTGACATGCAGAAAGAATTGACACATGGCAGTGACTTGACGCACAACAGATTGCCGCGTTGCAATGAACTGGCATACAATGGATTGCCACGCGGCACCGACTTGACATACTGTAAATCGAGATTAACACGTGGAATTGACTTGACATACAGAGAAAGACACGTGGCACTGGCCTGACATAGACCGGGATTGACACGTGGCAGTGACCTGGCGCACACTTTGGCACATGGAACTGACCGCATGCACCCACGTGGCAATGATCTGCCATAGATGGGTTGCCACGCGGCATTGACGTGATATTGAGAGATTGCCCACGTGGCACTCACCTGGGGCTGACCCGCCTGTGGACCTGACATGGGGTTGAGAGATGCCACTTTGCAGTTGATACACAAAGAGATGGGTTGACACGTGGCACTGACGTGAAATCCACCAAGATCGAACCGTGGGACCCTATACTATATATAGGGTAAGCAGTGCGTGTAGTGGGACTACCTTCTTCCCCCGAGTACAACGTACGGTCATTATAGCTGTATTTGGGCTGTCATTCAGACTAAATACAGCTATAATGACCGTACGTTGTATTCGGGGGAAGAAGGTAGGCTTCCCTCCAAGCCGTGCGTGCAAGATTTTCAAGACCTGATATACACCAGGGGATTGACACGCGTCACTGGTCTGACATCCGACTGACCTACGATTGACACGTGGCACTAACCTGGCTGACTAAGGTTCCCACCGAGCCGTGCGTTGCAAGATTTCCAAGACCTGATATACACCGGGGGATTGGCACGCGTCATTGGTCTGACATAAAACGACTGACCTGACGTAAATAATATGAGATTGACACGTGGCACTGATCTGGCCTTGCACACAGATTGACACGTGGCACTAACCTGGCTTCTCCTCGCAAGAACGCTCTTGAAGACATCCACGAACCGCCGGGAGCTCAAGCGAGTCAAGGCATCTGAAGCTGTTCTAGCCATCTCCTCCTCCTCCTCCTCCTTTTCCTCCCTCTCTTCCTCCTCCTCTTTCTCCTCCTCTTTCTCCTCTTCCTCCTGATTTTCTTCATCTTCGTCTTCATCGATATCTATGACAGCTACGTCAGATTCCCCACTACCCAACCGATGCATGGTGGACGTAGTGCCGTACCTCTGCGGTTCATCTAACAGCCACGCACTTTCGCCCCCACCACTACTCCCACTATCCCGGGCAACTCTCCGGCGACCGGCCGACCGCGACCGGTCCTTGCCGCCACTACGACCATCACTACCAGCCGCGCCAATAAGATCGCCAAGACCGTCCGCACCTTCACCACAATGACGTCCACGTTCATTCTCATCATCTTCAGAAGCACCACCCTGACCACCACTACCTTCAACACCACCACCACCACCATCTCCTTCTTCTTCTCCTTTCCTTGGCCCCCAGTCTTCTTGACCAATCCTATCTTCAGCAACATCGCCTCGGGCAACCAAAACACAATGCTGCACACTTCCACAATGACGTCCACGTTCATCTCCAAACCAGCGCTGAGCACTTTGACCATCATCTTGCGCAACTTCACCCTCACCCTCTTGTCCATCGTGTTCCCGATCAGTTTGAGGAACAACTTGAGCAGCACCACCATCCCCACCATCACCATCTCGACCATCACCATTTAGCGCCCCACATTGAGCACGTTGAGCACCTTGAGCACGTTGAGCACCTTGAGCAGCATCATTCCGGTCACCGAGTTGTCGATCAGTTTGAGCATCATCATCAAGAACACCAACGTGAGCAGCAGGATCAAAGCGACCACCACCAATTCGGGGAACGCCATCTTGTCGAGGACTCTGAGCTACAAGATGATGGCGGATATCTCGCGCACAGGTATCTCGACGAACAACACCATGTTGTTGAGCAGATTGAGCAACAAGTTCACCTTCATCTCGCCCAGCCTGACGTCGCGCAGCACCTTCTTCTTGAGCACCACCATCTCCAGCCCCATCTTGAGCACGACTAACACACTGCCATCCATCAAGCGTGAGATCGTCATGTGCCATTTTCCCCCGACCGACATGATCGCCATAGCCAAGCTCAATGCCAAGATCTCCATCGCCAAGCTCAATGCCAAGATCTCCAAAGCCAAGCTCGATGCCAAGATCTCCAACACCAAACTGAACACCATGAACATGAAGATCACCCCGACGTCGCCGTCCTTGGTCGACTACCTCAGCAGCAGCAGAAGAAGAAGAATCGAAAGAAGAAGAAGAAGAAGAAGAAGAAGCACGACCACCACCACTACCAGCACCTCCATCGTCATTTTGAGCACACCGCACAGTTTTGTCGAATGCGAGCGACACATTGAAGATACCGAAAGATAGGGCATTGAATCCGGGAACGGTATCCCCACCCCAACCTTCTGCACTTTGCCCATCGAGACACGGCAGACTATCGCTTTGACCACCATAGCCACGACACTCTTCAGACGTTACGCCGATGGTGACATTCCCATCACCATCGCCATCGGCGTAACGTGGAGAGTTGTCGCGATTGCCAACGAGGATAAGAGATCCCGACGCTCGCTGAAGATTTTCACCGGCCGCATCTACACCTTCCATCCTGAGGATAAGAGATCCCGATGCTCCGTTGTCCAGATCCAGTTGCATGGACTCCCTCTCGTCAACACAGACATTGGCTGCCTGTGGCATCGCGTCTCTCTCTCCTCCTCCTCTCCCTTCTCCTCCTCTCCCTCCTCCTCCTCCTCCTCCACCTCCACCTCCCTTCTCTCGTGTGCCAATCTTTTGTAAGTCTTCTCCATAGAAACCTGGGAAGAGCTGCTTCTGCTCTTTTCTACCTAACCCTTCACCTACATTACCACTGCTCCCACCATATCCATACCTGGCCCGTTTACTTGCTCGATCGTCAATCTCAGCTACTCCTCCTGCTTCTCTCAACGGACTCTTACCACCTCCTCCTCCTCCTCCTCCTCCTCCTCCTCCAACCGACTCGTCTCTCCCTTTCTTTCCCACTCCGTCCTTGATATCCGCCATCATCGATCGATAGCCACTTCTCTTCGCTGTGGCTATCTTCTTCTTCTTCTTACTTCACTGACCAAATCGATCAACACAAACGACGCGCGAGCGGGATCTGTTTCAACAACGAGGCCACAAATAGATACCTTCTTCTGTTGTTCACCTCCCCCCCTCCCCGGGCCCCTTTTATTATCTTCAATCTTATCTTTCCTCGTATCTTCAATCGTATCTTCAATCGTATCTTCAATCAATCTTCCCTTCAATCTTCCGTTCAATCAATCTTATCTTCAATCTTATCTTCAATCAATCTTATCTTCAATCGTTGGATTCCAACCAACGACCCAACAGATAGGGTAAGCAGTGTGTATGTAGTCTAATCTACGCTTCCGTCTCGAACCGTGCGTGCAAGATTTCCAAGTCACACGGCTCTCCATTCGTCCGTTTGGCAAGTTAAGACTACACACACGTGCCCGCACACTGCTTGCCTTCCATTTCCATGTGTACTATGGAAACTCAGACGCCGCACTTCGTATCTCCTTAATGTCCGCACACGGAAAAAAAAACAGAAAAAAAAAGAAGCCGTTCCCGAATTTTCTTTCTTTTTCTTTCTTAACCTTCAATCCTATCTCCTTCTTCCAAACCTATCTCCTTCTTCAATCGTATCTTCATTCGTATCTTCAATCGTATCTTCAATCAATCTTATCTTTCACTAGATGAGGACAAGTTATCCCTTTCTATATATCTATTGAGACGTGTACGAGAAGCAGCAGTCTACGGCCACGTTTTTTTTGGCAATTACTATACCTTCCATCATATCTTCAATGTGATCTTGAATCAATCTCTGGGCAAGCTATTGCAAAGACAGTACAATCTTTATCTTCAGTCGTATCTTCAAATCAATCCTCATCTTCAATCCTTTATCTTCAATCTTCATTGTCAATTTTTATCTTCTTCAATCAATCTTTATCTTCAATCAATCTTTATCTTCAATCGTATCTTTATCTTCAATCGTATCTTCAAATCCATTTCGAGTGACGAGATCACTTCGCAACGTCATTCGCCATCAAACCCTCTCTAGCGTTCAGTTCGAATACATCAACCAGATTGATTGATTGATTGATTGATTGATATGGCCACCGCCAGCATTGGAATCACCTGCCTCTGCCAATCAACTTGCAGTTTAACTAGAGTTATTTCAACAACACAAAAAAAAACAAAAAAAAAAGGTAATCCGACTCACCACCCCACTGTACAGTATCAAATAGAAAGTTAAAAAACCAACCAACCAACCAATCAATCAATCAATCAATCAATCAACCAATCATGGACTCACCCAGCGACTTCATCTAAAACTCATTACATCATCATATTAGTAATTGCTGAAGAGTGTATGCAATTCATTTTCCAAAGCAATGGCTTTGATCAGAAGCGCACACCCACCGCTCAATCAATGCACACCTGTCCGCCGTCCCTCATCAATCTCTTCTATCACCCAATCAATCACCTCCTCATCCATCATCCATCAATCAACAATCCAATTAGTGGTTTTGCTTTGTGAACTTTGGTTACATCCGATTAGTCACGTGCTCGCACTCTTGCATTTTCTTTTTCGGTTTTGATAAATCCGATCGTCGATCACTTGATCTTAATCACACTTGCTCGTACTCTTTGATACATCATCCAATTACGGCTTTTGCATTTTCTTTTTTGGTTTTGTTTTCCCCCCTCTTCATCTCTCATGCACTGCACAGGATTGCCAAACTCACGCCATCGCTATATTCCCCCTCCCCCCTCCCCTTCACTTCCCCCCAAGCCCTCACCGAAATCAGGCACAGGCGTCGACCACATGAACGAGAGCCACGTCTATTTCTTCGTTGTTTTCTCCTTCATCTAATTCTTTTCTCTCGATGCATACATATAGATGCACATATATGCATATACATACATGTACATACATACATACATATATATCGTCACATATATATATAAAATATTGTCACATGATATCAGAGCGCAAAGGCGAAAAAAAAGAAGAAAACAAGAAAAAAAATAATTTGTTTTTTTATCTTTTTTCTTACAACTCCCCCTGTTCAGAACCTCTTGCGTACAAGGCCGCCCACGTGGATGTAGGTTGAGCGGCGGCTGCCCCCACCCCCGTGTGTATAGATATATGTCTATTCTCTATATATCTATGTTATGTATTTATATATACATCCACTTTCCTCTCGTCGACTAGAACCAAAAACGGTGCCGTCAACTTTTAGTGATTCGATCCGTCGTCCTACCCCTGAACGTAACAATCGATCTGCTGCAAAGACGACAGCCACTAGGCGATCTCTTTTTCTTTACCTATCATTTCCTCATATCTTCTTTACTATTACACACTAGGGATTCGGTCTCTCGCCCTCTGAATCAACAGCAAAGACAGCATACATATGTATGTGCGCGTCCGTCCTTAGATCCGTACGGTCGTGTTTCCGTACATGCACGCATGCACGTCTGCTTGAGTGCGTGTACGGACCATGTGCAGGTTTTTGTGCCGGGCCTACGTGTGTTCGGCGAGTCGCTCTGTGTGCGTGTTGTCATCTTCGCCGCTATACACACAACTCCACAGAAAAGAGCATGACTGTGCCAGACTCTGTGTGTGTGTGTGTGTGTATCATGCGTGTGAGTGTGTGTGTGTGTGTGTGTGTGTATCATGCGTGAGTGTGTGTGTGTGAGTGTATCATGCGTGTGTGTGTGTATCATGCGTGTGTGTGCGTGTGTGTGTATGTGTGTGTGTGAGAGAAAGAGAGAGAGGGAGCAACCGCTGTTGAGGACATACCACCCAGGCGGTAGCGTGAGAGAGAGAGAGAGAGAGAGAGAGGAAGCTGCTATGCTCTTCTTCACCCAAATACAACGTACGGTCATTTCCACTGCATCTGGACAGAAAGGTGAGAGAAATACACGGTCATTTCCGCTGCATCTGGACAGAAAGGTGAGCCAAATACGGCTATAATGACCATCCGTTCTATTCGAGGGAAGGACAGTAGTAGCAGCTATACAGCTGATACGTAATCCCTTTTCTCATCGACCGATCAACATACTTCTTCTTCTTCTTCTCCTTTTTTTTTTTGCCGGAGGG